GGCAATGGGGCTGGACGCTGCCTACAGGGAGGACTTGATGGTGAGAACAATGTTAAATGTTGAAGAAGCTGAGCATCTTAGCATGTTATGAGTGGGTTGTTTTGTTATTTATCTACATACCTCTGTTCCTTGTTTTTTCTGTCTTTCTTATTTTTCCCACAGTTGTGAGTGAGGGTGTCTGCCCTTTGACTAACAGCAGCTGGTCTTTTCTTCATTGTCCAGAGGAGGATGAATGCGCCAACGGTCATCACAACTGTTCCTTTGGGAACACCATGCATTTGGGAAATGCATAGTGGGCATGCTGTAGTCTAGGTTGTAGTCTATGCTGTAGTTCATAGGTTGTTGTTGTTGTTTCATAGGTGAAAACACCTTGTGTTTTATATGGGACTGCAACACATTTTTATCCTTTGCTCTCCCTTCCCACATACTTTAGTTTTATAAAAAACAGCACCTTAAGCCAAGATGGTGTTCTAACATCTGGCTGCAAAAGCACCAAAACCTATCACTGTGGGTCTCCTGCAGGCTAAATTGTTATTTGGTTTCCACGCTGCAGCAAAGTGGAGACATTTTTGTCACTGGAGATTTCAAAGGTTGTGCAGATTTCTTTGGATTAGGTTTAAAAAAACACTTTTAACAAAAAATACATTTACAGCACTTGAAGGGTGTCCCTCATTTTCCCACACAAACAAACTCTTTGTCCTATATTGGGTTTGTTTGAATCTGCTCATCCTGCTCCTCACCAGATATTTATTGTTCCCTCCAGGACCACTAGAGGCCAGTACTTCAAAAAACAGTGAGTAGATCTGCTTCCCGTTAGTGATGGGAATTCCGGCTCTTTTTAGAGAACCGGCTCTTTCGGCTCACTAAAAAGAGCCTGCTCTTTCAGCTCCCAACTGGCTCTTACCTAACCAGCTGGCTTCAACGTATGGAAGAAAATGCAGTCTCATGTGAAATATTGTGAGTATGTTACACGGTGGGATTTTGGAACAGTGGAACTGCCTTTATTGCCCGAAATATACACAAATTTTAGAAGGCCCCATTTTTACTTTGAGCCACCAGTTGGTAACATGCACGTGTGACTTTTGAAGACATACATGCACTAGAGTGCATCTGATAGGCTAAACTTTATTATAAGAATTGTGAATGTAGATCAGTATTGCACTTCAGTCATTGCCTGAAAACCAGTGTTGTATGGACTGAGCTGTTCATCATGTATTTGTTATCATTTGACAGTGATCCAGATCCTCCATGAAAACTAAGCTTGAGCTTGAGGATGGCTATACTACAGTATTTCAGGACCGAATACAAAAATAACTAGTCTGTTTATTTATTTCAGAGAGAAAGAAATGCCACTGAACCTTGGAATCAGTACATTTTAATACTAGTTAGTCTTTTCCTGCCAGCACTTAATAGTGGATGTTTGTAGTCTTGAGCTCTAGAACAGTGCATAGAGATTGTACATGACTTTCCTACATTTAGTACATTTAGCATATCTCTTCACAAGAAATTTGACCCCCATTGTGCCTTTTCTCAACCTGTGTGTGCCGATCCAGTGCTTTTCAGTTTCTCATGTAACAAAGTAGTGGTTTACATGTTCTCTGGCCAGTGCACCGAACACAGCCTCGCCTTGGCTGTCTTTGAGTTCAGACCTGGTCGGTGTGAAGGAAATCTCAGAGCGGCTGACTGTCCCTGATAACCCACAGCGCTTTGATCCCTGCGTCTTTGTCCTAGGTGCTGAAGCTTACACCTCCGGGAAACACAAATGGGATGTCTTTGTAGGTGACAACCCCAAGTGAATAGTGGGAGCGTGCAGAGAGTCATTGACCTGAAAAGATTCGAGTCAAGCTTAATATAGAAAAGGGAGAGGTGTCATTTTGGGATGGAGGGTTAGGGAAGCACCTGGTCACACTTACACACAAGTTTGAAGGTGCGATATTTCCTATTTTTGGTCCCGGCCTCCATAGCTCGCCCATGGCTCTGGTTCCAGGAAAAATAGCTATACACATGTCAACAACCCAAGATAAGGTTAGACGTGAAGATGCAAGATTGAAAATCAATGATGAAAAACTTTTAAAAGCAAGAGAAACTCGACAAGCCTTTATCAGTCGATCAGGGGCAACGAGAACATCAAAAAAAAGTTTAAAAGATTAAATCTGCCAGTAGATGAAACATCAGTTTAAGTATAAAGATGAAAATAATGACACTGACATAATGTTCGAAGCGTGTGATAAAACACAATGTCAGAAACACAATTTAGAGTGAAATGCCTAAACTTTAAAACATGCAAACCAGCCTGCAAAAGACAGTCAAGATGAAACGTGTTGACTGTGTGCAGAAGACAGAAACCAAGAAGTGATCAAAGGATGACACTTTGTGCCGTAGTGCCTTTGCTGAGAGAAACCGAATCCACTGATCTTTTGGCACCTTGCTAGTGACCGACCAAAGGAGGAAAAAGTAAACTGAATTTGGGATGTCACACTATTTCTACTCATAGGTGTATTTTGTTATTTCTTTCTTTTTTCTTTGTTTTCACCTTGCATTGCAATGATGGAAGATTTCAGGCTGTATTGATTTGTTTATGAGTTCACAGCGTTGCCTTTACAGTGTTTATTATGCACAACAGTTGTCTGGCCCTCTGCACCTCCCTACCCTCGTGTTTTGAGCGTAGTTAATGTGGCCAAACAGAAACAAAACACATGACAAAAACAAAGGATTGGACTGAGAGCTTTATTTTTTTTTAATCCTTCAATGAAATAAAGGCGATGATGGTGATTAAGTTTGAAACTTCACTGTTATAAAGTCACTTGCTTCTGGGTTTTAGGGGATGATATTGTAGTTGTTGTTAGCCTTTGAGTTATTTGATTTCTGTGAGTAATAGGAATATTTCTTGAAATATACACTTAAATGCGCTTCAAATGTCTTTGGTGATGCTGATGTTTTGGATTAAAATGCAAAATGAAACTGCTGATTGTTGGGATAGTTAGACTGCTATGCTGGCTATCATTCACTATACTAAGTTCATGCTTAGCAACACTTTGTGATATAAAATATGCTACTACAGTGTGTGTAACCTCTAAACATTAACACTTTTGTGTACGTCTTCAATTAAAAACTGTTTCAAATTAAATGTGTGTTGATTTCTTTTCAAAACGTTTGCAAACAGTATGGAGAACTTTTATTCAGCAGGGAGCAGATGAGTTCAGCAGTGGTGAAAATAATACTTTAACTTGTTAATTTGCAGAAAATCAATAAGTGCTTACAGATACCCAAACAAAAAGCAAGAACATAAGAATGCAAATAGATGATCCGCTGCTGAACCTCTAAAGGCATTCACTTTATCCACAAATAAGTGACATAAATAATGAACAAAATATTTCACAAACAACCCTCCGTTTATGGCTTACACAAGATCCAAGTGTAAATCTTGATTGTCTCCGCTGGGTGGCAGTAGTGGGATGGGTCTTTGTGTTGGTCACCGTTGGTTATTGCTCGCCTGCCAAAAAGCACCAAAACACTGGCTTCTCACCACAACATGGTCCGCAAGAGTAGCGTCGATGCTTTTAAAACGTGTCGCTGATAGCTGCAAGCAGTTCCCCGAGGTGTACCATCATTTTGTTATTACATAATGAAGAATTACTCTCAAGAATGACTGATTCTTTTAGGGTCTGCAGCAACCAACGATTGCGCATCTGGATTTGGCCGAGCCGCTACCACTAGCTAGCGGACAGGCTAGCAGAGCAGAATGCTGTAGCGCTCTCCTCTGCAGTGAATCCAATTTAGTATCGACTGGATAGCCAGCTGTCAGTTTGCAGCCCTCACTAGTTAGCTCGTGCAGTAACTGACGTTTAAAGGCCTGCCGAAAATGTAAACCACCATGCGAACAAAGAGACGGGAAATGGTAAGTGTTATTTTGTATCCAGACCAACTGATGAGCTCAGATTAACTGTATTCCGTTTGCTACCTTAGCTTAGCTACCCTTTCGTTAGCTTTGTTGTGATAGCCTGCAGAGACCCTTGCTGCTAATTGTCGTAGGTTCATCCTTTGGCTAGTTTTTTGTAAGAAACCCAGATAATAAAAGTTAAACTGTGTTGTGTGCTATTCTAATGTAACACTGCAGATGTGGATTATCGTCGTTTCACCTTGACGTTTGTGTGGTATGATTTCTGGAGTCGTAATGTTTACGAGCTACTTCCCTGTACACGTTAGCAACATCAGCATAAGAATTTTTGCAGTAGCTTTTCTTGAGTCTGGCAATTTGTAGTAATCCTTGTAATCTGATCATTAAGCCTGATTGGTTGTTGCTGCAGGGTTAATGGCATTGCAGTTGACATATGACTCATAGCGCTTTAAATTGGACCCTTTCAGTGGCATAACAGTGCTCAGCGAGACCTGAGAACAACTAGGGGGACTTTGATGTCCATAAGGCGTTCCCTTGTATCCAGATCGGATCGTTCAGTTGTTATATGTGGTCGATAAACGAACCTTAAGAGATTGGTCTTCATATGTGCTGCAAATGTTCAAGGTTTGTTATTAGGACACCAACACCAACCGATTCCCACCTTGCTCTTTCCCTTTCCATCTTTCAGGCAGTGCCAGTGATGGCCTCCCCCCTCCCTGTCTCCTTCATACTGGTGGTTCTCCTGTTGGCCAAATCGCCTTTGTACCAGGCAGGGGACTGCAAGGGCCACAGGCAGGTTTTGAGGGGACCACCTGGCTATGTGACAGATGGAGCAGGAAACTACTCTGTCAATGGGAATTGCGAGTGGCTCATCAAAGGTGGAGAAAATGTTTTTTGTCATTATTTTTTGTTGTTTTCTGTGATTATTCAAAGTGATATTTATCGAATTCTTCATATCTTCCAGCTCCCAACAACAGTCACCGCATTGTCTTGAATTTCACCTTCATGAACACAGAGTGCACTTATGACTACCTTTTTGTGTATGATGGGGACTCCTACCAAAGCCCCCTGCTAGCCAGTCTGAGTGGCCACACGTTGCCCCAGCCCGTTGAAGCAAAGTCTGGCAAGGTAACCAAGAAAAGATACCACAGCTGAAAGGCCAGGATGATTCTTGAAACTTCATTAGCGTTGAATTCTAACTTAATTTGTGTTCACTCTTAAACTGTGTTCCAGATGCTGCTTCACCTCTTCAGTGACGCTAATTACAACCTACTGGGTTTCAATGCAACTTACACCTTCTCTTTGTGCCCTGGAGCGTGTGGCGGTCATGGTCGTTGTGATTCCTCTACATCAAAGTGCCATTGTCATCAGGGTTGGGGTGGGCCCTCATGTACAACCCCTCTGTGCACTCAAGCTTGTTCTGTGAACGGCCAGTGTGACAAGGTAAGAGTAGGGATAGGGACGATTAAATGAACACACACAAAAAATATATACTATAGTCGCACAGTAACGCGTTTCTCAACCTGATTAGGTTATTCATTTGTGTGCCGTGATGAAACTTTTCATATTTGCCTTCATTCATTTATTGATTTTTGTTCAGAAAGGAGAGCGTTGTCTGTGTAAGCCAGGCTTTGTGGGTCAAAACTGCCAGCTTGGTCTCTATAATGACAGCGGTGCAGGGAAGTGGTGGCGTGTGAGTGAAGAAAACCCCTACACACCTCCCAGGACAGGTTCTGCAGGCGTGTACCTCTCCTCCACAGGAGCCATGTACCTGTTTGGCGGTAAGAGCAACACACAGTTAAATTCCACTGATACAATTTTTCTGTTTAGAAAACAAAATTTTTAACACACAAGACAACGGCAAGGTTTTTGACTTTGATTCTTTGGTATATGTTAATAATCATAACTCAACACAATTTGTTGCTGTGTTACATATTAACCATCAGTGATGTTGATGTCTTTGTTAGAGCTGAATGTCAATGTCTGAGTCATCAGTCTCATATCTCATTATTGGCTTGTTTGAATTATATTTTGCTTATCTTCTTTGCAGGATTTGATCTGAACAGAGCTCTTGGTGACTTGATCAAATACAATTTTACATCCAACCAATGGGAAAGCAGGTCTTATGGTCATTCACCTGTAAGTGAACATACACTCAAACATGTGCTGTTTTTCTTTCCTTCTGCTATTGCATTTGCTTTGTCATTCTCTATGCAAACAAGTGTCCAAGTTACTGTCAGCACTTTACAGTAAATTGATCCTCAAAATGTCATGTAGGCAAGAAATGTAGTTTCTTTAATCAGGAGAATGGATTCAAAGATATCCATTCCAAGATTTTCTCTCAATGACTTGTCAGGCCCCAACTTATCCTCTGACAACCAGGAACTCAGGAACAACTCTGGAATCAGGATTTCTTTTTAAAAATAACTTTAAAAGACAATATTAAAACTATAGAGAAGGATTAAAGCCAAAACCTATTACTATTACTTATAACTTATACTAGTTTAACCATTTACTTATGGCCATTTATTGCAATAGCCTAAATGCAAAATCTTAAAAAACAGAAACATATTACTAGCTAATGCAGGACTATACCAGTCTCACAAAGTTGGTCTCTACAGCTGTTTAATATCATTTGTAAAATTTTAATACAAATGCTCAATTTTTTCACTCCAACAACTCAGTTAATGCAGTCCATTATTCACACTTTTTAAACGTTTTATTTTATGCTTCTCTCTGGTTACTGTCCAAACGTACGACCTAATCTCAACATGGCACAGCTGTTTAACCAGTTTCTGACAGTTAGCACCTCTTACACTTATTTGAAGTGTGGCTGAAGGGCACATGGTAGCTAGTGCTCTGTGATGCAGTCATCCAGTAGCAAAAGACTGGCAGACATGCAGACATCTGCACAGATCCTTAAGGTCACCATCTAGTGTTAA